ATTAATACTAAGCCACCCTCTCTCTTCAACTAGTTACAACTTTGGATGTCCAATCAAAATTAGCGACAATTAGGAAAAACGCGAAGTATTTTTTTTTAAATATTCTAATAATATAACAGTTTTAACTATAAATATTGATTTTATGAACAAATATGAAAGAACTATGTATTGTGGTTTACTTTGGTATTAGTCACACTTTTTAACTCATTGAGTGTTTCAGATGATAGCCCAGTTTTAAAAATCACGGTTTCAATGAAGGCTCATACTTTTTTATTACACGTCAGCTATGTACATAGACAATTATTGATAGATAAAGTTAAATCCCAGTTGCAAATGGATCTGTTTTGCACCTAACGCTGTTAATTTAATTCTTGTTAAATTGACTTGCCAATCTATTTAGTCGGCCATAATACATTTAAAGGCTTTTGTACACTCATTATGTAATATACAAAGAAAACAATCAATGACTTGATTTAAAAAAGTGTTCCATTCTCTGAATAAAAAATAGATATTATTAACAACGTACGTACATTATCACATACAGAGTTTGGACGTTTACCTGTATGCATATTAAATTAATAATAAAAAAAAGCTATTACCTATACACGTTCAAAAATGAAGGGTTTTATAAAACACTCTACTATTAATCCGGAAGCAACCCGTATATTAAATTACACGTTTTGATGGATATCCATTGCCTGTGCGCTTTCTATAATAATATATTGATTAATTTTTATCGTTCAAACAATACCATATTTAATGAGGATTACACGGAAAGTTAATCTTTCCCTACAGGGTTCCCTGTTTTCCCTTTTCTTAAAATTATTTGGTGGTTATTTTTTCGGCCAGACAAGTCCTTTATGATTATCGCATTCCTAAAAACGGTGTATAATTATAGTGCCATTAAAAACATAAATATATTTGGGCGATTCCTAAACACATGATCAACGGTGTAACCAAGCAACCAAATGTTTTTACTTTAGAACGCAAATTCTACCGAACCACACAAATGAGAACTTAAAAAAAAAGGTAATTTATAGTTCTTATATTGAACTTAATAATTTTTGTGCTAAAAAATGATTAGAAGTGTCAAAACATTAAAGAATCGTATAACATACATTTTTCGAACAAATTATAATAATAATATATTGTAATCAACACGAGAAATTATGACTGAAGGCAGAATTTCTCTGAACTTCTAAAATATCTGAAGTCTATTGTTTTCATTAAATGCTTATGTTAATTTTGTTTTCTACGTTGAATATTAATATAATATTATAGTGTTTGTAGCCAAAGACAAATGACAATTTCTTTTCATGTGGCATTCACTGTATTTAATATCTGTATAATTTCTAGTTTACACTCAAGTTGAAAACTTTATTACTAATATTGTACGGTTGTAAAAAAGAAAAAAATGAACGAATCCGGCGGCACTAAGCTGGGTTTGATAACGTCGACCTGCCTTGTAAGACGGAATCGAATAAAAGGTTGCGGGCACAAACAAACGCAGGTTTTTTGGACGTTCGCGTGGTCAGCTGTTTGTTTGCAATTTAGCGGGTAGCCTAACCTTACCGGTAAAACGTTATTGTCCTGTCTTTCCCCTCTAATAACGAATTTGGCAAATCCCAGTGGATAAGTCTGTTTTATTTCGTAGGAGGATTTCTATCTCCTCCCTATCCACCACTTACCTATATATTTCAATACCGGGAAACTTTCGCCGCTAGGCCAAATTGTTTCGGACCGATTGTGTGCCGGTCAGCGGTTGAACGGATTGAACGCACAATTTCTCATGGTCAGTAGTGGTTTCAAATCCAGTGCGGCTTATACCCTTTCATGGTCGACCACTAATAAAAGTCACCAGCGTAGCACCGTCAATATACATATTATCAACAGGCGTCCATTATATCCAATCCAATATTAACAAGTGAATTTTAAAAAAAACCTATTTATACAAAATACCATTTATATATAAGCTTACACAGTACGATCAACGTTTGTGATAACATTTGCTGATTTGTTTATGGAATTCTTGTCATCGAAGTATTTAAGCTATATGGAATTAAATAGCATATATTATTGTGTATTTTCAATTCAACCTAACCTTTCATTTGCAGCGTGTAGCTTTTTCTGCCACTGCTTCCATTGATTTGCTATAGCTTTGATTTAGTTCGACATATTTACTCATTCTTGTGTCGCTTATAACCGAGCTATGTAGTATTTACGAAACCTTTATCTAAGATTTTTGATATTCAAACGATTGCATGTCAGTTAGTCTTCGGAAATAAGACAACAATTTAAATACATAATAATGTTTATTTACTTAAATCCGAAGTTCTTTTATCTATTCAAATATGTAATTTAAAAAATGTCTTTCAATACAAAAACTTTGTACTTTATAACTAATGATATAATTTATTAACGCAAATTTTTAATTATTGAACATGCAAAAGAACGATATTTATATTACATATTCATTGGTGACGTCAGATTGTTCAATTACCCGTGGACTATATGCAATATTATTCCAAAAAAGGTAAGAAACTATTAAAACTTGAATGGAGTATTGTATTTACACGCCTTGCGGTTACTCCCCCTATTTGGATATCTTGACTGGTTCGCCCCAGTCGAACCAGTCAAGATATCCAAATGGGAGTAACCGCAAGGCGTGTAAATAGTGTAAAGGTAAGAAACATCAGACATGTCTACTATTAGTGACCGTACGCATCGTATGTTATCCCGATTTATAAACAGATAACATAAATAATTTGACTAGCAGATTTGATAAAATAATTTAAATCGAATTTATTTTTCGTATCTTCGCTTACTATGCGAATGTTTCTTATCACATGTAAATAATAAAAATAACCAGTGTCTGTCGAGCTGCACATCTACGTGTCTATTCTATAGCAAAAGTACCTGCTCAGTTTGAATTTCGTGAAATATATTATACACGAAGCCGGAACTAAATAAATTCGTAATTTTTATCCGTATGTATCTTTTTTAGAAGTTAAGATACAAACATGGATGTTCAGCTGCCTCGAGACTGTTTTGACATGACAATACAAGTGGTTGAAATATTTCTAAACGCCAAAAGTCTCAATATGAACTTCGCATCGTGAATATTAGAAACGTAATACGTAATGTATTATTACATTTGTTATTCGTACTACTTACGTATTTTAAATCAAACAATCGTATAGAGTTTTTAGTTTCCATAGTTCAAACATAATTTTAAATAATAAAACTTCTGAAAGTTGCAGTAAAATTTAGAATATAAAAATGGTGAGCTCATGAGCTCCACTGACCACCCTTATTCTGTAATACAGTTATCACAAGGATGACGAATTAATCAAATACATTTTATTCGCTCGTCTTAAACAATATTATTAGCCTTTTCACGCCATTGAGTCAAATGTACCTAATAAAGTACATATGACACAGGTGTTGTTTAATAGCAACGTTAATTATATACAAATATTGCAGCTCCTACCTGCCTAGGATATTATTTCTCGTGTAAATAAAACATAGGTACATAATACGCCTGTGACCCGCGTTACTGGTCTCGAGTAAATATTGAACCGGACAAATTGTATTAGTATAATAAAGTTATTCAGTATCACATCCATATAGGTTAAATAAGGCGAAAATGTAGTATCAGACTGCACCAGATTTTTATTTCGTCAAGTATAATAATTTGTGCCTTTATTCAAACTAAATATTAATGACTGCAAAATATCATGTAATCTTCGTTCGTGAAAATCTCTATAAATTATAATATATTATGAATAATAGTTTTATTATTCGAAATAAAAAACTTTTTATTAATTATAATATTTATTTTCACGCCATTGTTACTAATTTTAAAAATCTTACCTAACCTCATTCGTCGGGTAATTTGTCACTTGAATTATTTAAATTATGTCTCATAAACAATTATTTCAATACAGTTTTTAACTAATTAGGTCCGAAGTGTATAACATATAAATTTTATTATACCACAAGCATACATATTTTTTCAACTTTCGAAGCCTGAAACATTGTAAATCTTCAGTTGACTCTGTGGACAGACTCATTGGATTATTATCAATTAAATGCAATTTGAAATATAGTATTTATTATTATACTAAAAAGAACGCACATAACAAATAATACTATCGAGTCTAGACTTTAGTGTTGTTGTTTTTTGGACTATGAAAAAAATATAATATTATGTAAAGAAAATATAGTAAATACTTCTATACTTAATAAAACAATCCAATTTACATTTTTCTATCTCGTGCAATTTTCAATTTTTTTTTATATATACATTATTTATATATCTGTATAAATGGCCACTAAAAAAGCATACCTTGTGCGTTTGTAGTATTTTTTAAGCTTATCCATGGTGTTTAACTGAATATTGCATTCTGTAACTTATTTAATCAATTTAAAAGTCAGGTAGGCTGTATAAGTTCAAATAAGGTTTTTTTCATCAGAAAAGTTGCATTATGCATGTAATAGACTAGACATTATACTTTAAAATAGTTTTTCATTGGATTTAGTAAGTTTCCTTAATAATTCAAATTGAAAACGAGCAGTTGAATTAAAAAAATTTTAAGATAGTAGAAGTGGCATTACTTATAATTTATATTGTAATTTATCATTCATTTTTATTTGAGGACTCTCCTTGATAATAATTTTTTTTAAGCTTTGCAGATTTTTCTCATTCTAAGAAGAAAACTTCAGTGATTTTTTTAAATAAAAAGACTAGAATTTGTTTATAACTCGTATTATCAATCAAAAGTAATATTCTTATATTGTTTATAAAAGTTAAAAATATATAAATAATTAATTTTAGAAATATTTTTTTTACGTGACCAGTATAGTTCAAAGCAATTACAATGTAATACAACTATTTTGTAAATTCAATACCAGTGATGGCCATATATTTTTAATTTGATATATCGTTATTAATAGCTATAAAATTTAACTTTACAAGACTTCAGAAGAAATACAAATAAAAATAAATACAAAGTAGCTCAATTGAATTTTTTAACTATATTATACGCTTATTGCAAATATGTGTATTTATAGTTGCAATACATACTAACACTAGTTAATACATTATAATACACAAAGTAAACATTTAAAAATTAATTATTAGAATTAAGTAATTTAATGATATGATTTTTTTTTTAACAATAATATGTTTGATTTATTTTTAAGTTAAAAATGTCTTTACCATCAACACAAATAGGAACACGACTGCAAGGTTGTGTTGGCATTTGCTAGAAGATCCAGTTACTGCAAAATAAAATGAGAACCTCGTATTATGTATTGTCATTGAGTATATATTGTAATAATTAAAATGTTAATAATTATTTACAATATAATATACTCAATAATATTGTTCAAATTTTGCTTGCTAAACTCAATACAGGCGTTGTTGTTTATATTAACCCTCCATTAGTCTCTTTGGGTATTTTTTGGTCACACGTAAATTAAATGTGACCGGTGTAAATTTCTTACCCCACCAGACTAATGACGAGTTAAGACAAACATTATATGTATTTTATTATCTACCATTTTACATATAGCATTTTTTATTTTTTAAGATTTTGACACATATACTTAACTGCGTTCTCTACTTTTTATCAAAAAATACTAGGTTTAAATTTTTGTATTAAAAGAACTATTAGGGTACTATATAAAAACAAAATAATTTATTCAAGGCCGGTGGAGCCATTAAGAAACTAATGAACAGGCCATAATATGTTCTATAGCCATAAAGGGACCCCTCGCCAATGATGTTAGCTTTTCTAAAAAAATATATTTTGGGCTAGTTGAATATTGTGCCGGTATGCTCCCAATAGTGTCTGATAATTATCTTACTACGTTACTGTATTAAAGTCTTTCAGAGCAGCTCTTTACTTTGTGTCATGATCATTCAGATAAAAATGTTCTTTGTAGTTTTTGTATTCTGTCTCAATAAATATTCAATCAAGAAGAAAACACGAGTAGGCTTTTAGTAAAAGAAAGATCGGTTTCACAATACCGATGATAATAACAATTGTCTGAAGTTTGCCAAAGGATCCTTTTTTTTTATTAAGCTTAGCACGGGACACATTATTACCGAGCAGAAGTGCTTCTCTTTTATCATGTCTCGGCAACACTTTCTCGTTGTCACCAGTCCACAAAACTGGCGAAAGGATCGCCACACACCTAACCCGAACCGCTCCGTTTAACACCGTCTCTGCATCCAAGGGTAGATGCAATCCTAAAGTTGTCGTCACAAGCCCTCGAACGTGTATTTGCGGCGGATACCTCTTCAAAGATTCTTCTTTTGCCTGTAACACATACACACAAGTGTACAATGATACAAGATCACTTTAAAAAAGTCACTATATAGGTATGTATATTATATATTAAATATTATTTTTGCTCGCCACTTCTGTAGTGTTTTCTATACATTTAGTTTAAAAATAACACGAACCTCAAACATATTGATTTTAAATAACAATGAAATTTGGTTTTCACGGTTTTTATTATGTTAAACTTGATGTTGAACTACCAAGGTTCGAGTACATTATCGTGAGTAGGTACGTGTATAGAGTTATCTGACTATAATATCTGACTAAAATCTAAAATAATATCTAGCTTATATTGAATATAAAACATGCTATGATTTTTCAACTTGGTAAATTTGAAAGAGCTAATAAATAAAATTGAAGGGTTGACAAAACCAAGAAAAACTATTTCTGATTTATAAAAAAATAACAATACCATATACGCTATTATTCATTAATACCTGTATTACCTAAAACGTATAATATTTGATGAAATATTTGCATAAACCAAATAGATACAGAATAAGCCATTTAAAAATTGAATAAATACGATTCACAGGTTTATTTAAAAGCGAAAACCTAAGCGTGTGAGTTATATTTATTTGATAGATATACTTTTGGGAAATTGTAAAAACAAAATATGTTATCATTTGTTATATATTAGTTACAATCAGTAATAGTAGCATGTTTTACAGTCATGACTTTGATATATATTACGGTTGTATTTTACTCTAGAATCGTTCGTCAAAAAAAAATATTCACTACTCGCTAGAGAAATCATAGTAAACGTCAGTTCTAGGTTGTCAAAAGTACTAATACTAGTGTACTAATACTGTAAAACCATGGTAACCTTAAAAAAGGTTTTCGGTGCATGTTCTCAAATTTTTAAAAGGCAACCTCGGGTTGACCGGGAGCTTATATTGTCAATTTCGTTTTATATCGTTTTATCATTAAGTTAAAAATAAAACAAAAATATATAAAAAAATTAATCCAATTATAGAAGACTATTTTATCATTAGATTCCATTGATTAACTCACAAACGTAGTAAAAATGAGTGAATACTTATATTTTTTAACGGCTATAGTAATTACACACTTGATTAGTAAAATATTTCAATAAAGACACAATTGTATACTCAAAAACTGTATTACAAATTATCACTTTTCAATTAAGTTTAATTTTAATTCATCCCGAAAGTTTCCCTGGTAAATTATTCTTCGAGCGATCAAAATTTAAATTTGTTTCAACCCCTTCTCGGGTAAGTAATTATGGTCTGCATACCGGATTTTGGAAAAGGGGATGGAACCTTCTACGACAAAAAAGCCACAGCGTGACCGAAATGCGTGTATGAGCCTTGCGTGTAATAATCCTTTTCACCGGCACATCATATTTTAAATACTGGTATGCAAAAGACAACCTCGTTAAGCAATACTCGAATAATTTATTTGTGTACATTATTTCAGAACTAAACAGGCCCAAAACCGTTAACAACGTCAGTAAAATAGCGAAACAAGTATAGAGGTTATAAAATAGTTAATAGACGACAATATTATATTATATTTCTTATTCGTAATTAAGAGGTCGTCACACCACTTTTTTTCGGCGCGTAAAACCTGTCTCAGAATATGCAATTTTCTGGGAAACCGAGTGGTTTTAGCGTATACTTGCTAATGAACAAAATTAAAGATTAAAAGTTTATCTACATATTAACATAAGGTTTTTTCGATTATGTTACTAGGAACCAAGTTATAGATCTTTGAAGTTTTCATTTTTCAATAGCGTATATCTTCGTTTCAAAACATTTTATCGAAAAAAACCTATATTAATATGTAGATAAATTTTTCATCTTTAATTTTGTTAATAAGCAAGTATGCGTTAAAACCACTCAGTTTCTCAGAAATTTGCTTATTTTGAGACATGTTTTAGTCAAATTTTAGTAGTTATTAGTGCCAGTTTGTTTTACCTATTTTATATATCTTATTGTATTCTATATAACGTTATTAATTTAAATTAAATGTACAAAGCTGATTAAACTGGTCGACTGATGGCTATAATTTATAGTAATTATTGTACATATAATAATATTGTTTTTTTTTATTTACGTTTCATGTAAAAACTTAACTCGTGTCGTGGAAATCAACTAAACATTTTTTAAAAAAATGAAGAAGAAGGAAATGCGATGCTAATTCAGGGATGAAATTGAACGGAACATTTACTAAAAGTAAACGAGAAACAACCGAGGTTAGAATTAATTTTCGTGGTCATTGTACCGCATAAAATATTTATCTTTGGTTTAATGCCGATTGTCAGGTCAGTTCATTAGGAGCCATACCTCACGTTTCCTACTGGTAATAAAACCGTCGCGACAGAAATCAACTGTATAACCTAAGAGAAAAGAAGGTTTCATTATATTTTCTTTTCACTGTTATTCGTCTTTTATTTTACGGTTTTCGAATTTTCCGTTCTATTCGTGTTTCGCGTCGTAAAAAGTTAGCACATTTTTTTTTTATGTTTTAGCTCGTGTATGATGAGATTTAAATCATTGAATCTCGCGGCCCGAGTTCCGCTAAAATACATTTAGCAGACGTCATTGCTCTGATTTCGGTCGTAAATTCCTACCGTTAATAGCAGTTTTCAATGTATACTTGCAAGAACTTGATTTCGGCAAATCGTTTTATTGCCTTGAAACGCAAACGGTCTCTCGGAAATTTTTTACGCTATTTTTTTTAAACACTTGTTTTTATTTTTAATCTGTTTCTTTCGCCATATTTTGAATCCGGTAAGGTATAAGCTATACCAAATGAAACTGTTGGAAACGTACAATATCAACATTTTTTTCCAATTCGTCTTCACCTGAAATCAACAGGTGTCCGACTTTTGGTTAAATAACGAACATACGTTTTCCTATTTTAAAATTCTATAAAATATAAATCTCAACTTGTCCTTCTTACTCGGGTACGTATAAAGAAACGGTCGATTGGTTTTGAGGATAAAAAACTCACAGGCTCGATTCGGAGTTTGGTAGAAGCAAAAAAAAAAACACCATCGAGGAAAAGACACGCAAGTAAAGTACATAATTTTGTTCCGTTGAGGCACTTCAAAGCTACATAGATCGTATCTACGCCTGAGCTATGTATTTTCTCGAACGAGAACAAGTATAGGGAAAACACGTCTACATACGACCGTAAAAAAATATTACCTATATCCAAACGGGCTATTCCATATCAAAAATAAAATGCGTGTTTCGATCTGCTTGTCGCATTTAAAAACCCTCGAAAATACATCAATTTTTGAAACTGGCGAAACTTCTTTTCGAGATAGATATCAGAAAATGACTCACGGCCGTTTATGTTTTATGGTGTACAACGCAGGGGAAGATAGCACATTTTTTTATACAGTGAATATTATATTATAACCAGCCAAAAAATATAATAAAACATAATAGACACAAGCAAATGACAAACGCAGTTTTAATATAAAATAAAAAAGTTGCAATAAAATATTCTTAAAATTGAGATACCTGGGCAATAAATAATAAAATTAATGATTAAATATACTAGCATGGAAATGTTTTAAAAAAATGTTGTTCACATTAGTTGTTTTTTTTTACTGTACTATAAATATCAACATTTGTTTGTACTGTTTAAGTTAAATACTGTAACTGGTACTGTAAAATATAATGAGGTATGATGGAAATGTATTTATTTATTATTGCTCAAGAATTAAGAAAATATTATACTTGCCATTAATACCTACGACTAAATAGATGTACCTACAAATAAAATAGATTTTCTATCAAATATGTTATTATAAAACAAAATATAACTTATTAACCGTGATTATTTAACAATTTATAAAACTAATCCACATTATAATTACACAAGTATTTTTTATTTACTTCTAAAACATCAACATTTATCCATGAATTTATTTAATGAGACTAAAATTAATAAAACACGTGCTAAACATATCATGTTTCGTTTTAAACTATTTTGGCTTCAAGTTATTAATAATAAATTATTAACTCTATTAAATTACAATATTCATTCAATACCTAAATGTTATGAAAATATAAACCCTTATTGATTAGCAAAATTGAATAATTTAAAATTTTTATGAAAGCAATAAAATAGTGTGTTCGAGATTAGTTTCTGTTGTTTTAAAGAGTCGTTAATTGATAATATTATACTGTCAGGATATGATAATAAATATATGCTTATCGCCTTTAAACTCTCCCATAACGATTCCTCATTCTGTCCTCGTCACAACGATGAATTTCCTTGCGACTTCCCCCATCTGCTATGGTGTCCTGCTTTGTCTCAACTTCGTGCTCCTCTCTTCACCACCCTATCCTTCTATAATATCAACCATTTTGACACTTATTCCATTCTCAATTCCTCAGTCATTCCCATCATTAAATCCGTCCTTCTCTTCATTGTTGAGTCCGGCTTTGCCTATTGTAATTGCTGTAAATAATTGTTTTTTAAGTTTTTTGTCTTTGTAAATATCGTTCAGTTTGTACACATTAATTTTTAGCATCAATTCATACATTTATTAATTTATAATTGTAGAAATAAATAGTTTGTACTAATATTTCAATAAGAAAATATATATATATATGCTTACGGGTATATTGTTAATAAACCATTGGAGAGTAGACGCTGGGTAGGACTTGGCCGACGTACAGTTTAAGTTTATCGAGTCACCAAACTGATAAACCGATTTGTCGCCAGTGATGTATGGACCGTCTTTTGGTAAATCTAAAACAATTACAATACAGTAAATCAGTTTATATGATGAGTTTATTGCGTTTAAATCGAAAAGAGAAAAAAAATACAGTTTATTTATGACAACAACCATTTATAGTAGTGGTGGAAATGAGTGGTTTTATTGTGAGAAGAAGCAGATAGAAATAGAAATATTATACTTCCCGACTAGAAGATTATGTAAATACAAAAGAAAAGAGAAATATGACAAACACCGAAGACACAATATAAGTATTATTTTTATATTGCTTCATATTCTAAAAACCCTACTTTTCCCATCAAAGTTGTAATTATTTTTTCTGTTTTAAAGCACACGTTTAGAAACTTCAGAATAATTTAATATTACCAACGGTAACTTGAAATTGATACCGAAATTACCAATTATGGTAAAATATAATTATAATATTGTATAAGACGTGTATGTTCGTGTATGCGTTGAATACATTTATTTATTATTTTTTGTGTTTCTTACAAAATTACAGCTTATTATTTCCAGATAAATGTATCGTATTTTACAAACTATATTCAACAAAAATGTATAGGTATTTTGTAATTGTAGCTGTCATACAACAGCTGACAGTTCCGGTCTTCGAAAGACCCCTACATCGGTCAATCGATATCAAAAAGTCGACTACTGCAGCCTGTAAAACGGTTCAAAGTGTTCAATGTGAATCAGACCGTATGCACAGTTAAAAGTCTGTTCAATAACATATGAAAAAGTGCTAAGCCCCGATTCCAGATCGTGTCTACAAGAAACATACTAGACACAAATCTTAAACAGAAAATCACAATCCAAAAAGTATTATGTGTTCTATCCAAATATGTGACGCAAAAAAAAAACGAACGAGATTTATTTCACTAGAATGGAAACAAGTTTATCTATTATGTAAAACGACCGACACTGAAACATCTTGTGATGTAAAATTAGCAGAGAATACACTGACAGTCATTATTATTACCAATGATGAAATTGACGACTCATCGGAACCAAATCAAGAAAGCAACAACACGTCTTGTTGTAGGTACTACAAATTCATAAATTGATTTACACGTCTCGTCGGTGTTGTTTATATAATTCTAAATGTAAATTTGAACTAACCGGTTAAATGGATGACTGAAATTTGATTTATTTTTTGATTAGATGTTTACGATGTTTGTACACATAGTTTTAATCAAATGGCTTGTACTATGTGAAGGTACTGGCTAGTATAAATCCTCCTTAGATTAAATGTGTTTGATATACTAATGAACACATTTTGATCTCGTTGTGAGTCTAATCAATTATTTTGTGGTTTTAAAATGAGGTAGCTTATGAATTGCTCATATTATTACTTCGTATTTAAGATTATACATACTTAAAAGTAGGAGTAGGTTTGTGTATTATTAAAAAGTTAAATAAACTAAACGTTTACTAATGTATGTCACTAAAAACAACAACAAGGATTTGGCCGGATCACATGAAATTAAAATCCAAAATGAGAGCCAGCAGATGTGTGAAGTGCTTGTAATAAAAACTTTTCCGTTGGTTTTTTTAAACTAGAATCTTTTTACCTTTCAGGTGGGTCAAAGAGACATGGTGTACAATTTCCACTTAAAACGTTGCGTTGTTGTAATACAAAGAGCGTTGTTTGCGAATAGGCGTTAGACAATGTCACTTCGAGTTACACTTGTAACTATGTTTCATTTGTATTTCAGTCAGACCGATAGTTGAAAAAAAATAGTAGAATCAAGAACCCTCAGAACCGCCATAGCTGTTATAGTAACTGTTCGTAAAAGACGTATGCACTCCACTCTGCGGGAACTGCGGTTTCTCACCGAAAATATTTTTAGTGAACCGGCAGCTCATAAGTAATACGGTCTTATATTCCTAATGGAAAATGCAAATTGGAAAACGCTGTACGGATCAGTAAGTAATCGATTTCGAACGTGGCAAACACCAAAACACAACTCTGGAAGGCAATTATTTATATTGTGTGTGTCTTATGATTATTGGCATTACTCGATGGCAATCTTAGAAAAACACGCGAATCGTCGGCCATTGCCGTGAACTCGAGAATCAAAATGATTTCTACGATAGACTTCAATTTTCGAAAAGAAAATTACTTGGTTGTCGGCCGAATAATGTACCATTAGCTTTAAAGCAATGCATTTGTTTTGGACATTTTTTTCGTTTCTACCTTTACCACAACTGACTGGTGGAAATGTTATGTTTTGAAATTACGACTATTATGTATTGCATTTGTGTTGTATACTTTAAAGACATTAGGTATAAAGTCTACGGCGTACACTGAACAAATACAACTTATTTAAGATTATTGAAAAACACTAATACGGACATACCATGATTAATATAATTGACTAAACGCCTCTACAACATTTTAAACGTCATATTAGTTTTATATGTATTGTGTACATATAGGTATTGTAATTATAAAGTTAAATGTTAATGTGATCCAACATTTAGCTTTATAATGTTACGGTTTATGAGAGTAGTAAGGCCAAATTAAAAATTAATTTAAAAAATATTTGATGCGAAAATAACCTAGTTATTCCTATAAAAATCGAAATGTTTAATGGATGTGTTTTCAAGAGAATTCATAAAAAACAGGCATAATTATTCTATCTTCTCTCTTTATCGTACATATATACTCATTTTTTTATACACTCTTTTACACTAATGCGCAGACATCAGTCTTTGTCAAATATTAAGTGCCAGCGATTCATAACTGGGACGTTTTTATTTGAATTCACCACCAACTAAGAGTCCTTTGCTATATATTTCGTCTCGGCATTTTTTAGTATTATTATTACTGTTATTATTATTTTTTATTCGTCATCGTAATATTATTTGCTGCCGAGGCGCGAGAGAGATAATTAATAACACACAACCGCCGGCAGGTGTCTACCATTGCTATATGACCTATGTTTTTTTTTGTGGTCCTCATTTTTATCATTATTTTTTTCTTTGCAGTGTCATGTTTTTTGAGAAATAATATGAACATCTATATATTATAATATATGTACACAATGTAAAGCACGTCGGAACGCCTAACATGAATTTGCCGGTTGTTGTAAATAATGTGCTGTCAAAAATTCGAATAACAAAAATATGACAACCATGAGGGGTAGGTACTTAATAGAAAGTATGCCAGTCCGTATGAATTATTTAGTTTAATATACATTAAGGGGTATCGAGTGATCATTACAATATCCAAGAAGTAAAGTAAACGAAAAACTATTACAATATTATAAAATATTATTGCCAACTTGACTCTAAACGCAAATTAAAAAGTTCACATACATTTACGATATTGATTTATTGACGGGCGTTCTAGTTTTTGATGTAGTATAGGTTTTAATTATTACTTTCTTTTATATAATAATATATTAAAGTAACTATCATATTATGATAGTTAATATGTTAAAAATAGTTTATATCTTCGGTTTAATAGTAATAATTTTACATAAACAGAGTCAAAACAGTTTGATATCAACTCATTAATTACATTTTCAATAATTATTTTCTCTTTACTAAAATAAAAAATATAGAACAAATGTTGTATGTAAAGGAGTACGATTGAACAATACCGATTTTCATCTTCAAAGTTGAGTATACCATAAGAGCCATTCAAGCAGATAAAACCATAACTTTATTATTTTTACAACTATATTGTTTAAACGAAGAAGTTTTATAATAATTTATTGTGCGATTTTATATGTGGTAATTAGAATTAAATAAATTAATCGAATATAATAAAAGACAAAAGCCAGTCCAAAAATTAGGTAGATACATAGTAAGTCACAGGGCAGAGGCCACAGATTTAAAGGAATCACTTTCAAAAATTACTTTTAATAAACGCTTCGATGAAGACAATTGAACTACGGATCCCGATAAAATTATTGTTATGAGTTATGACAATAATGTGCTTAACATTTTAGTTTTGGGGTGCTAGGGTTGATAGCCTAATTTCAATAGAACATAATTAAAAAAACGTAATACAACTATTTTTCACACCTAGTGACTATTAATTCACTTTCCCGTAGCAACCAAAAAATTGACTTCAGGGAAAGTGTAATTTTCCCATATTTTTTTAGTTTATTCTTATTAAAAGAAAAGTCCCAAAACAAATTTTTAAGATTGTAAATGTCGTAGCCGAAATTCTAGATCTTCTTTGAGTCTGATTTTCATTCCCATGCTACACCTAATGAAAGCGAAGTAAAGAAAAAGTTTCTACAAGAGGGAGGACATGTTTTCTTATATTTTTTTAGTTCTTCAACGTATATTAATAACAGTATGTCTCAAAAATATTCAATACAAATTTAAAACTTTTTCGACCATTTTTAAAAAATGTATACCGCGTCGCGCCGTAATTAAAAAAAAATAGGCAAATTTTTTCGGTGTGTTTCTCGATTGGAAGAGGAAGGGTTATTCTTAAAGAAGAGAGGTGAACTTATTCATTTAACCCAAAGAAGTTCTATTAGGTACAATTTCTGATCAATAGAGTTGCTGCATAAAAAAATCGGTTCAGCGGTTTAAAAGATATCGTGGTCCAAGCACAAAAAAAGTAATTGAAGAAAATGAAGAAAACATTATAACGCTTAGTATGTCTGTATTTTCTTGTCAAGTGTAAGCGTAAGATATTTAATTATTTTTCATCTAAGAATTTATTAAAATGATTTATGTCAACATGTGTTACAATTCACTCCACCTAATTGTCAAGAACTGTGCGTATTTTTATATATTTTTTGTATATTTAATAAATATTGACATAAAGAAACCTTTTCAATTTTGTAGATTTGTAAAAAAAAGTATACAGATTTTTTTTCAATTCGAATGTATGAAGCAAACCTGTAAATATGTAAACAGACAGTTTTATGATGAAAAAACCATTCGTTGCTACCTACATATAATATACATGAATACATCTTTATGCACTATATAAATTGGGTGTTGTAATACAAATAAGTACTATTTATAATATATAAGCCAGTGA